CCTGGTATTTTAATCAAGAAAACTGGCTCCTGGAAGCAGTTTTTCAAAAATGAACAACACAAAAACCAATCTCTCTGGCAATCAGTCTCTCCTAAACCTAATCTCTTTTTAGGAATATGCATCTTCAGTATTAAACCCTTGACATTCTTAGTGCTGTATTCTCTATTACTCTTAAAATTTTTGGTACTGCATTCTCTATGATGTGCCTTCTCTAATGAATTCCCAAATTACTAATCTGAATCACTTAGAAGAAAATGTTATGAGGTCACATGGTACCTGTGAGGAAGATGGCTGCCTAGTCCTGGACCTCCTCACTTCTCACATATCAATTCATTTCTAATAATTACTTTCCTAGCAGATTGGCTATACATTTCTGTCATAAAAGTTTAAATTAATCCCCTGGATAAACTTCAAACTGTTGAATATGGATTGCAATGAAAAAATGAGAGGCAACAAAACAGCTAAGCCTGAATCACCTAAGTGGCTGAAGGGGGAGACCACAAGGTCACCGCAGAACCTAGGCCAGGATATCGTGGCACTGAAAGCATTCCTCACAGATCGACTGGATTCAATCTCAAAAGATATTCATGGCCTCTCTAATGATGTATGTGATACAAACTCCCAAATGGCTGTCTTGGAAAATGAGCTACATTGAAACCAGGGAAATTAAAGAAGAAACTGCCTTCTTAAAGCTTAAACTAGACAAACTAGAAGAAAAACATGATGACTTAGAAAATAGATCTTGGCGAAGGTTGTTTCTTCTCTTGGGCATTGCAGAGGGTCTAGAGGGGAAGAATATTATCAACTTTCTTCAGAAGCTTCTCCCTGACCCCCAGCGGCCCCCATTAGATATTGAAAGGGCTCAGTGAATGCCTGGTACTAGAAGGCAGGAGTCTAGCAAGTGAAGACTCATCATCTTCAGTCTGCTGAAGTTTACTGATAAAGTAATGTTAACGAATGCTGCAGAAAAGCTGAAACCCTTATGTACAAAGGTCATAAAATTTCACTTTTTCCTGTCTTCTCAGATGAGCATAATAAAAGAGGGCTGCATTCAATGGCCTAAAGCAAATCATGAAGGGCACCAAGATCAGATACAGTATCTAGTTCTCATTCACCTTCACTATGGATTTAGCAGGCTCCACAAGATTTTACAAAACCACCTCTGAAGCTTGACAGATGCTTCAAAGACTGAGACCAGATTTGACCAAAAATAGCAGAATGGTTTTATCATAAAAAATTCACCTTGACAAGTTTAATAATCAGTTTGTTTTCCTATGTATCCTTGTAGATATGGTAACTGTCACTTATATAACCTTTCAACTACTAGCAGATAACCAGCTAGTCTGAACTCTTCTGTTGATCTCCTATGAAACTGAGCAATAATAACAACTGTATAGCATTGCAATACATAGAGTAACAGTTTAACACAAAGCTGGGGTTTATAGCACCATCTTCTGACTGAAGTATTATCCATACTAATTATCACAACTTGCACTGCTAGAAAGAATCTCTTCACTGATGGATTGTGTTACGGTGACCACAAGTCCCTTGAACAGTCAATGCTCCTGACTTGTAGAGCAGACTGTAACCTAAAATAAAACTAGATATTCAGTTTGTGGAGGGCATTTGACATAGGAAAAATATAAAAAATCATATTCATATTTAGATTTTGTACTAATTTATATTTGATGTACCAAATCAATTGTAAATTTACATCTGATGAGTCTATATATATGTATATACACATAAAATCTTCTGTAGGTAGGAATGGAGATATCCTATCTCCTAGAACTGGAAGGGACCTTGAAAGGTCATCAAGTCCAGCCCCTTGCCTTTACTAGCAGAACCAAGTACTGATTTTTGCCCTAGATCCCTAAGTGGCCCCCTTAAGGATTGAACTCACAATCCTGGGTTTAGTAGGCCAATGCTCAAACCGCTGAGCTATCCCTCCCCCCATAATTCTAAGTACATATTCTAGAATATGTATAATACATTAGAATGTATTATACATATTCTAGAATACCCATTGGTATTTACAGGGTAATATTTAACTTAAAATATTTAGAGACATTTAGACTATATTAGATAATATAGGGAGGGGAGGGCCAGATGGAAATGAAGCCATTAGGGATCTGAGCATGTCCACCTAGGCTTGTTTTAAGTCTGTTAATTTTTGTTTGTTTTCTTTTATAAATATACTTTGGAAGACACATGATATTTAACTATAGATCTTTTTGTATACCTGATGCTCCTAGAAGCTCAATTGAAGGCTTCATTCATTCAATTCATTCAATTCACACCAATTCATTCAAAACTAACCAGTACCTAATAAATATAGACCATATTCTAGAGATGTGGTTTTACAGTATCAACAGGGAAAAATATGTATCTTTAGAATAAGGTTATATATCTTAATATAACTTTTAAAATTTTGCCATGAATTTTCTAAGAGTATGCTCCTGGAATGTGAGGGGACTTAATCAAGCTTCCAAAAGAATTAATATCCTGAAATACCTCAGATAAAAAAAGTGCTAAGTAGCTTTATTGCAGGAAACTGATCTAGCAGAAATAGATACCCACAGAATCAAGAAGAGGTGGGTCGATATTGAGTATCATTCATAGTTAAATTCTAAGAGCAGAGGCATTTCCATCTCAATTCATAAAACCATAACTTTTCAATGTATACAGTTTTGGTCCGATCCTGAAGGAAGCTATGTTCTTCTTGAAGATGGTTTCAACTCAAAAAAGTTAATCTGAGGAAGCATTTACAATCCAAGTGGAGGTAATACTGAATTTTTCAAAGACATTGCAGACATTCTTTCTAACAAAAAAGGCATTCTTGTAATGCTGGGAGGCGACTGGAATACTACACTAGACAGACATCTGGACAAATCCAATTACATGAGACCCAGCTCTCAAAGCACAGTAGGCCAACCATCACTATTAATGAAAGAACTTGATTTAAAAGGTATCTGGAGACTGAGACACCCCAAGGAGCATGACTATACATATTTCTCTACAGTACATTCATCTGAATCCAGAATTGATGTTTTTCTTGTGTCTTCAGAACTGATTCCAGCATGCCTAGAAGCAGCTATTGATAATATATTAATTTCAGATCATGCTCCAATTGTACTTAGCATCGATGCTGGTTACACATAATTAAAATGTTCTAGGTGAAAGCTGCGAAAAAAGATGCGAAGTTTTGTTCCATGGTTAATTGAGTCACCTCTAATTTCACACAAGAAAATAAGCACCCAGTTACCTCAGATACCTTCCTTTGGGAAACTCTGAAAGCTTCTGTAAGGGGTGAATGCATAAAGTATACCTCCCAAAAAAAGAGAGTGACTCAAGTTAATAGACTCTTTTGACAATGAAGTAGATGAATTGCAGAGAAAGCCTAAAACTGAACCAAATAACGAAAACCTATGTTCTGTAATCAATGCCAAATATAAATATAATGAATGCTTATTCAGCCATGTCGAATTTGCACTCAACAGGGTCAAACAAAGATATTATGAATGGGGAGATAACACAGGTAAACTACTTGCCAGAAGACTTAAGATGGAATTAGCCAACAATATTTCTTCCTTAATGCAAGAAGATGGGAGTGCCATCCTTGAACCAATAGATATCAATTTAAGCAATTATATTAAACTTTATATAAATTAGACAGTCAATTTGACTCTAATAAATATGATCATTTCATTGAAGGCCTACTTTTTAATACCTTCACTTCAGAACAAATATTGTTTAGGGACAAAGCTGTCACAACACAAGAGATCAAAGAGGCTATAAAAATATGAATTCCAGCTAGGCCCCTAAGATGGATGGCTTTCTGGCAGATTTCTGCAACACATTTTGTGATCAGCTATCTTCTATTCTTTCAAAGGTCTTCACTGAAACATTCCAAAAAGGAACAATGTCTTGTAAGATGAGAACTGCTTTAATTACTTTAATATTAAAGAACAAAGATGGCTGCAACTGTGGCAACTTCCGCCCCGTATCTCTATTGAACACGGATTGCAAAATAATTGCAAAAATTTTAGTGAGACGACTGAACACCATGATCCCATCAATCATACACTCAGATCAGTTTGGTTTCATTAAAGGAAAATTGGCTGCTAATAATATGAGAAAAATCACTCACTTGATCCAGCAAGCTCAGATGTTAGATGTTCCCTCCACAGCCTTATCTCTAGATGCAGAAAAAACCTTTGATAGGGTGGAATGACCCTAATAGCTGCCCTAAAAAAATTGGCTTTGGAGAAATATTCCTGAACTGGGTCAGTGTATTATACAACTCTCCCCTTGCTTTAGTATCAATTAATAGAATTATTTCTTCCACATTTCAACTAGAAAGAGGGACACAACAGGGATGTCCCCTCCTGCCCCTCCTTTTTAAGGTTCCTCTTGAACCACTGGTAATGTACATATGTCGGCATGCAGCCATTGAAGGTGTGACTCTAAATAGGAAAGAATACAAAATCAGTTTATATGCTGATGAAATTTTTGTACGACTGAAGAATCCATCCTCATCAATCCCATCTCCTCCCTCTATCCTTACTGGGGAGACTAGAAATAGCCAAAATGAATATCTGCTCAATAGTGACTCGTATCATTAGCCTGTTGCCTTTCAAGGTCTCTCTCTTGCTCTTTGGTCAAATAGGCTTATCATGCCATTTATATGGGATAAAAAACAGCCTCTCTTATCACACAAGACCCTTAAAAATCATGGGTTTGCCAGATCTGCATCTATATTATCTAGCATTCCAAATGCATCCTATTGTAAGGTGGTTCCTCCCCAGTAGCTCTGAATATGCACTGGCCTGGTTTGAGATTGAAAAAAGGTTAGTTATGCCAATTGGTTCCCTCTCTTCTTTTATATACCCAAACCTTTAAGGAAAAATCCAATCTTTGCATCTACATATGACATCCTGCAATGTGTTAAGATGATTACAGCAGCCAATCTTACTAATTCTCTTCTTGTACCACTATAGGATAACCCTTACCTCAGGACCACAGAAAACTTCACATGTAAGACAAATTTGGATAGAAAAGGGATTAACAAAACAAAGATATAATACAGGACGATAGACTGGCCTCCTTCGATTTTATGTACAACAAATATCAGCTACCGCTATCCCACAGTTCCTTCTTTCAGCAGCTATGCTCAAAGATTCAAATAGGGATAGGGGACAATTGGTCTGTTTCAACTCTCTCACCTCTAGAAGAACATGTTAAGAAACATGGAAACAAAAGTCGCTTTGTAGGAATTACTTATAGGTGGTTTACTGCTTCGCATTACCCTCCCAATCTCAGTCTCAAAGAAAAATCAGAAAGTTAACTTAGCCTTACTATCACAACAGAAACCTGTGGCGATATCCTGCTTAATGTGAAATATACTTCAAATGCCTTATTCTTGCGATTCTTCCAGAACAAGATAATAAACAGGTATTACTGAACACCAGAATATTTGTTTAAAGCTAGATTGGGAACACATAGTGAATGCTGGAAATGCAAAATGCCCCCATGCCAACCTTTCATACATCCTCTATACCTGTCAAAAATGCATGTGTTCTGGAATACCGTATTCAGTGCTCTCTCAACAACATTGTGTTGCTATTTTTTCCTTCTTCAACCTTATGTATGTTATGGGTGCTGAATGAGTTGGTATTACCAGTTAAAAAATGGATTGCAGTAACTATTTTAGTGGCCCAAATAGTTATTTTGAGAAAATGGAAATCTGCAATTCCTACCTCATACACAGACTGGCTTAGTGAACTCTCTACTACTGCCTTAATGGAAACAATGACTCTGTCTAATAGAAATGCTTGGGAAAAATATGAAGATGTCAGGTCACACATGAAACTATTGCATGCTTTTTGCAGTTTAGTATATATTAGTCCCCAACACTCATAGGTTATGTTCTCACTTATTTATCTATTTAATCACTTCAACAATTGATGGACCTCTACAGGGTCAGAGTTTTGCTTGTTTGTTTTGTTTTTGTTTTTTTCCAGGTTTTACAAATAATGAACACTGAATTTTGTTATTTATATGGTATTTCAATCTTGTGCATGATTACATATGTTTTGTTTCATTATGTTGTTTGTATTTTATATAAAAACAATATAAATAAAGTTTAAAAAAGAAGAAAATGCTATATGTATGCATTTCTTGTTGGCTGGCAGCTATGGTAGGAGCAAAGATACATTTGTGTACATGGCATGTCATTAGTAACAGTTTCAATAATAATGTGTACCATAAAAGTGGAATTTATAAAAGGTTTTGCTAAATTAGAAGTCTTTATTTAGTAGCGGATATAATCAAATCTCGCTTTATTACTCTCAGTCATAGCTACTGGTTCATCCTGGACTGGATATCTCTACGCACAAATACGTTTGAAAGTTTATGAATAAACTGGGTATTTTCCAAGTCAGTCTTACCTCAGCACAGGTAGTTGTCATATTCTCTACTGCTGTCATTCCCAGAAGTACTCATGCTAAAGTGGAATTTTTAAGAATGATGTAGACTCTGTAGACATGGAAGATATTTTAGTGACATCTGTCATTGGTCAGATAACACCACTTCAGATGGGTGAGCCTAAAATGGAAAAGCCTGCTATCAGGTATTTTTTACAGGTAATCTTCATATAGTTTATAGTATCTTCTTTCTCAGGGGTGCATCCAATAACCCCATGCAGTGACAACACTTCAGAAGAAAATCTTCCAAAATGATCATACATCACAGCATGGGCTAACTAGCTCCTCTAGTGCTGCATTGACATAATTGCTGGAAGAATCACTTATCAAAGGTGTCTATAGGACCAAAACCATTGTGGTGCTCACTGCCATTCATAGGGAAGCTATGGTGGGAAATACCTTTAATGTCCACTGACCACAAAAACACCTCTGGGTTTAGAAGTCTGTAAATTGTTTTTCTATTCTCCTCTGCCTATTACCGGTAAGTATTTCCACACGTACTGATCACAGATTATATGAATACTGTAAGATGTCCAGTCAGCAGCTTCTCTCTCTTTGTCTCTTAATACACTTGGGTGACATTTTTATGTCTTATCATGCCAATAAAATTATATAATTGAATTCCCATATGTGCTTGTGTGGTTGGGGTTTGCCATTTGAAGAATGCAGTCCAAGGCCAGGTTTTCATTGAATCAGATAGAATGGGAGCTTGCTCTCTAGCAGCAGTCACTAAATGCAGTAATTGGTAATAATAATTCAAGAGACGGAACATAGTGCTGAGGTGTAATTCCCAACATTTCAGTCCAATAACCAGTTCTTCAGGGAAGATATTAGCTCTGATAATTTTTTATTGCTATTGGACTGAAATATAGGAATGTAGGATTTGGTTGTTATCTTTTGTCTCTTGATTTAATCATGTATTATATGTTTCAGAGCAAGGTATAATTCTCTATCAGTTATTTCTAGCCTGGGCTGCTATTGCAAAAGTCATCTTGCAGGCATAAGAGCACATACCAGTTACCCAAAGGAAATATCATTTTGGGTTATGTCAGCCAGGCAATAACAATAGATCTGAAGGCTGAGGGTAAAATTATATTTGTTGCAGACAGGGAAGCAATGAGACACCCATGCCAGAGTATGGTGAAATGCAGAGGCTGCAACTTTATTAAATTATTAGCCAGTTATCCCCAAACTACCTGCCAGGGCCATTTCAGGGCAGAATTTAACTGGGTGCCACTGGCCTTGGGGGGTAGTTTGATGGGTATGAAACAATGTACCATCTATACTCCCAGGCCTGCTTGGGGACCCTGCAAGAATCTAGAGTCCCAACCCATTGTCCTCATGACACCAGAGAAATGAGATGAGCCCCATACTATGTGAGACATGGAGGTATACCCCCCTCACCAGGCAGGCCTTATGCCGAAGCAGCCCATTGGGTGGCTTGGACCGCACCTGAAACCCTTTCTTAGGCCACCAGCTGCACTGGAACCCACCAAAATTGTGATAAATGTAGTGTAAATCCCTAGACCAGACCTCTGGTGCTGGATGGAAGGTGACAGTCATTTGTCAATTTGCCATATAGCAAAACCCATCCAGACCCCAGTTAAAATGTGGCGATCGGCCTAGCACTTCACTTCTCAAGAGATCCAGTATACAAGTGGGACAGGGTGGAGCTGAAACAAAAGCCAAATTGCAGAGGGCAGAAACCACCTCTCCTTCCTCGCGCTGCAGGTGGGAGCCAATCAACTGGTCTGCCCTAATCCCAATAATTTAATAGCATCAGGAGAAGGTGGGAGTAGGAGGGGAGAGAGAACTGGCTCAGAATTTAAACAGTTAGAGCCAAGCCACTTGTCCCTCCCTGCCCCTGAGGAAAAGGAGGGACCAACAGGAGCTCCCCCACCCCAACCCAAACAGTGTGGTGGCAGGGCTGGTGCTTCCATTTTGGTGACGTAGGTGGTCGCCTAGGGCACCAGGATTTGGGGGGGCGGCATTTTGGGGGGGCTCCGGGACCCGCCGCCGAAGTGCCCCGAAGACCGGAGCGCGGAAGGACCCCCCCGCCGCAGAATTGCTGACGACGACCGGGAGCGCGGAAGGACCCATGCCTAGGGCGCCAAAAACCCTGGCGCCACTCCTGGGTGGTGGTGTGTGGTCCCCATCACTCCTGGGCCCACCAATTATACATGTCAATTAATGAGTGAGCCTGGGTGTGTATTACACCAGCAATCAGTTGAAGAAGTATGTATATTGAAAAGAAATGGTTTCTCCATTTTAGAAAACATTTTTCTTTGGTGTGATCAAAATTCATCGTATGGAATCGGTTCCAAATAATATCCTACAAAACTGGTGTCCGATCCAGAACCGCTGGCCGCAGAAAGTTATAAATTACATTTTGCTAAGCTCCCTATGCTCCAGGGTTTTTTTCTCCCTGACCAAGGGTAGGTTATGTTACTGCTACCCCCTCCTCTGGAGTATCTGTCAGGTTGGGGCAACTTTACTTCACACTTGGTTTGTATAAGAATTCTTCCATTTGGAGCTGCTGAGGGAGACACTTAATTAGCACATTCCCTGTCCACCTGTGTCATTCTTCCTTTTCTGCCAGATCCAACTTATGGTGTGGCCTCTGGCTTTATTAAGACTGCAGTGTATTGAGCTACTGCAGTCTCATGTCCCATGAAAATTTCTGCCAACTCACAGCTCCGTCAGCACTTACACTGGGATAAAGTGATGTAAGTGGCTAATGAATCTGGTGCTTGATTTTTAAAATACCTTTTTGGGAACTGAATGGCTCAGGGTATTGACAAAGGAATGCAGAATCTGAGCTACCCATTCAAATCCAGCCGTATTTAATAGTGAATCAATGAAAGCAGTTGAGTATTCAGTAAAAAAATCACTTGGTGGTCTCTGTCCCAGTCCTAGAAGATGGATGTTCACATCATACAAATCATTTCATTGAGCAGTTTAAGCTGGGGAGATAAGGAATGAATTGTAACAGAGACTGTAGTATCATCAGCCCATGCACTCACTTCTACACTATCATGCCTCCGGCTCTTCACTGTGACAGATGTTGTAGAATCCTCATCTCTCTGCAGAATTAAACTGCATTTAGGGCCCTCGCTACCAGCAGAATGGACAGGATATTGCCTTTAGCCTGGTACTGTTATGAAGACAGTCACCCTACAAGTGTATGTGTAAGACTGATTCACATCACAGTAATTGTAAAGCTAATGGGGTTATTTTTCACTAAGATTTGGTCCAAGGTTTTGTGCTTACTCCAGTCAATCTCAGTTTAAACTCCCCAGAGCACTTTACATCAAAATAAATTACATACAGAGAAACAAGTAAGGCTAGAGAAAAGCAAAGATAAGTAAATTAAATTTGAAAACAGTCGACAAAATCTGCCCTTATCCTGCACTGATCTAGAAAATTTCACAAAGCAGAGGATCCAGCAGGGGAAAGTAAAAGCTCCAAACAGTGTGGTCCAGACAAATGCTGTTTTCAGAAGTCTATGGGAAACGGAATAGAATAATCTCCCTGGGACACATGGGATCAGTGTTATTTCAACATCTTGGGGAAGGGGGGGGGGAACTATGGGGTGAAAATTGAGCAGAGAGCAGCTATAGTGAAATACAAATGCAGATAGTTTCTGTGGGGGAAAAAGGAGCAGAGAGGAAAAAGATTGAATTAAATATATACTGTAAATGGCATAACTCACTTTGCTTAGTTTCTGGTGGGGGAGAGGTGGTTCTTCTGTCACTGATTAGGGCTGTCAAGTGATTAAAAAATAATCGTGCAATTGCTCACACTGTTAATAATAGAATACCATTTATTTAAATATTTTTGGATGTTTTCTACATTTTCAAATATATTGATTTCAATTACAACACAGAATACAAAGTGTACAGTTCTCACTTTATATTTTTTGATTACAAATATTTTCACAGTAAAAAACAAAAGAAATAGTATTTTTCAATTCACCTAATACAAGCACTGTAGTGCAATTTCTTTATCATGAAAGTTGAACTTACACATGTAGAATTATGTACAAAAAAACCCTGCATTCAGAAATAACACCATGTAAAACTTTAGAGCCTCCAAATCCACTCAGTCGTACTTCAGCCAATCACTTAGACAAACAAGTTTATTTACATTTGCAGGAGATAAGGCTGCCCGCTTCTTGTTTACAATGTCACCTGAAAGTGAGAACAGGCATTTGCATGGCACTGTTGTAGCCAGGGTCGCAAGATATTTACGTGCCAGATGAGCTAAAGATGCATATGTCCCTTTATGCTTCAACCACCATTCCAAAGCACATGTGTCCATGCTGATGACGGGTTCTGCTTGATAACGATCCAAAGTGGAGCGGACCAACGCATGTTCATCATCTGAGTCAGATGCCACCAGCAGAAGGTTGATTTTATTTTTTGGTGGTTTGGGTTCTGTAGTCTCCGTATCTGAGTGTTGCTCTTTTAAGACTTCTAAAGCATGCTCCACACCTCCTCCCTCTCAAATTTTGGAAGGCACTTCAGATTCTTAAACCTTGGGTTGAGTGCTGTAGCTATTTTTAGAAATCTCACATTGGTATCTTCTTTGTGTTTTGTCACATTTGCTGTGAAAGTGTTCTTAAAATGAACATGTGCTGGGTCATCAACCGAAACTGCTGTAACATGAAATATATGGCACAGTGTGGGTAAACAGGAGACATACAATTCTCCCCTAAGGAGTTCAGTCACAAAGTTAATCAACACTTTTTTTTTTTAACAAGCATAATCAGCATGTCCTCTGGAATGGTGGCTGAAGCATGAAGGGGCATACGAATGTTTAGCATATCTGGAACATAAATACCTTGCAATGCCAGCTACAAAAGTACTATGCATGTGCCTGTTCTCACTTTCAGATGACATTGTAAATAAGAAGCAGGCAGCAGTATCTCCCGTAAATGTAAACAAACTTGTTTGTCTTAGCGACTGGCTGAACAAGAATTAGGACTGAGTAGACTTATAGGCTCTAAAGTTTTACATTGTTTTGTTTT